TTGTGATCCTTATCTGGGATCACAGTTGGGCTCAGGCTGGGTGCTGTCCAGAGCGCAGGAGCTGAAGAGGGACACGTGGAGAAGGATGAAGGATGTTGGGGAGAGTTCGGATCAGGCAGTATCCGCCTTAGACTTGGCACTTGGCACCTTGGAAAGCCACAGTGAGGCCAAAGCACCTGATGTGTCCAGACAGTACAGCCCGCACCACTCAGGCAGAGCTGTTGTTTGAGGCGACTTGGGGGCTCTGAATCCCATCCACTTCACACTAGTGTGGACCACAGTCGCCCACAGAACACAGTTCTCAGGCCTCATCCCAGGTGTTTTGGAAAGGGGGCTTCCTGGTCAAATAACTTGGGGGAACATTTGGTGAAACAAGTTTCTTTACTGTTGGTTTTTCTTAACCCTTCCTATGCTGATGTGTCAAGCCAACGCTGCAGGCCAGCTGGTTTTTTACAAACTAATTTGATCAGGGAGCATTTCACAGAACCAGAAAACAAAAAAAAAAAACACCTGGTTGGCAGAATCTGGATCGAATAGCCTGCATTTGATTAACATTGTAATATTTTAGGTCTTTGTGGTGGCCTGGGTCTTTAGAAATTTCTGGTGATGGTTTTCCCCTCGCTTGTAAAAGAAAGGCTGGGCTGGGACTTCAAGCAGTTCACAGAAGCCTCATTGCTTCTGTCCCGTTTGTTCCCCAAACGGGTTTCAGTTAGCTGAGTGGATGCTGTTTATTCATTGACAACCAGAAGCAGTTTGGTGATGGGGAATGGTTAAAAAACAAACAAACAAACATCTGTGGCCACTCCAGTAAGTGCAAGGCCATCCTACTTGGAAGGGGGTGCATGTTGTCATTTTGTAATACCAATACTAATTAGCAATTATGGACTTCTGGCCCTACTGGAGCTGAGTGGAAATGAATTGTGTGTAACTCTGGTGCTTTGTGGTGTTGGTGGAGAACTGACTGAAGTTCACTGCTGCATTTCAGTGTAGCGGTTGGATTTGTCATGACTGCCAAACCTGCCCTCGGTAGAGGTCCCAGTGGGACCCAAAGTGGGCAGCCAGAGTCCTTGCCTCCTCAGTCATAGCCCGGGCAACGCAGGACCTTTCATTTGCTCTCTAACTGCTTGTCGAGCACGTGTCTCATGTGTGGCTGTAAAGATAGAGGTGAACACAACAGAGGCCTCGCCCCGGAGCTTATGTTCCAGGGGTAGACGCTGCCAGTGAGCAGATAAACAACCCCACTATGAGCTTGTATACAAACACGCCTCCCTTTTTACTAGATGTTTTACCCTAAAGCTTTCTGCTCCCCACCCCCATCCCCAGCCTCCTGGTCCCATTTTTCCCTTGATGCTTTGCACAGAATAAGGTCTTAATAAATATTTATGTGATTACAACAGCTGGTGTTACACATGTGAAGAAGTACAGACGGTACCTGAAATTAATACAAATAAATACATAAAAATAAAAAATAAAAAAAGTACAGAGGGGGTTTAGTTCAAACATTTACTGAATGATTCTTACGTGGTGCACACTGGGTGACAGGCTAGGGCACAGAGCTGTTTTGGATGCCCTTTCTGTGGTCCCCCGGCCTCCCTGACAGGTAGCCTCAATATGACCCATGCAGGATATAAGCCAGAGCATGCTTTGGGCTTCCTGAAAGAGACGATGTCGATGCATAAATGAGTGTTGACCATGAAAGAGAAGGTGAGATTGTGTTCTAGGCAGAGGGACTAAACCAGGCCGAAGTCCAGAAAGGTGACAGAAGCATGGGGTGTGCAGGGAACAGAGCCACAGTACTGGTCAGGTCGGGGGTGGCCTGCCTGAAGGAGGTGCAACCCCAGTCTGGGAGGGCATTGCTGAGTTTTAAGCATGCATTCCGTACCAGTGTTCTGGCTGCTGTGCAGAAGCTGGACTTGAGGGGCTGAGGGCAGAGGCAGAGAACAAAGGGAGGTGTGAACTGTGGTGGTGGCGGCAAGGGTGGGTGGGGGAGCAGGAGCCGGGAGTTAGTAAGGTTGGATCTGCTTGCATCTCCCCTGGTGTTCCTGTTCTTCGGGTAGCTGCTTTCAGAGCTCAGGCCACCATGTCCCCTCCGTAGCCTCCCTCTGCCCCCAGCTGAGCAACGTGCCCAGTTGCAGCGCAGAATTGTTTCTCCTTCAGATGGGACCTCTCCCTACCCATGCCTGGACCCTGCCACATGGTTCTTTCCTGTCCCAGGCGCCCACAGTTGCCTGAATCGATACAGCCCCTCCTATGTGCCTGCAGATCAGAAAGCTCTTCCTCTACCAAGCAAACAGCTCTCCGTCTAGTCCTTGCTTACTAGCCTGGCAGTCATTTTCTCCAGTGCCCCTTCCCCTTGCTCATCCCTTCATTAAATATTTGTTGAATCCCTGCAGGGTGCCAAGTACTGTTCTCAGACTACAGGGCAGCGAGGGGAACCAGGCAGTCCCCCATCCCCTGGAGTTGACATCTCAGTAGGAGAGAAAGACCATAAACCCATAAATATGTACATAGTGTATCAAATGGTGAAGAGAAAGAAGATCTCCACTTCCCTGGGAGGCCTGTCCAAGGTTTCTTCTAGGGAGCAGAGTGTGTTTTTAGTGAAGCCTTCAGCACGGAGTCCCACCTCTCAGGCTGGAGGCCATTAGAGACAAGGGGCATAAATCCAGCTCAGAGTGCCTTAAGCAAAAATCAGCATCTGATGACTTTCTCAGAAGTCTTGGGGATGGGATTAGCTTTGGGCTGGCAGGACCCAAGGCCTCCAGCAGTGTCTCCAGGATTTTGTTTCCTCTTCTGTCTCCAGTCAGTCCGAGGTCCCTTAGGACACATGGTTGCTGGCAGCCTCAGGGTTACCTCCCACCAGCTCAGCCACCCCAGCAGAGAGAGAGCTTCCCTTCCCCAGTAGCTCCAACAAAAGTCCTGGATCCAAGCCTCATTCACTGTCAGCGGCCTGGCCTTATTCACATGCCACAGTGTCCACTGGGGTCAGGGCACACAGTAGTCTCCTCCTTGGGCTGGGCTCCATCTGAAACATGGAGGTGGGGGACGGGTGGTTCCCTAAAGAAAATGTGGGGCTGGGTGGGTGCTGGGCTTGCCAAAACCCCAGCTCCTTCCTGTGTGCCTCAGCACTTTGCAGCTGACCAGGAGGCGAATGCAGAAGTGAGGCTGGGGCCCGGACCTCCAGCCCCTAGTGCTGGGCTTGTGGGGTAAAAGGCAGCGTTAGAAGGTCTCTTGGATTCCCCATGGTGGACATGGTATGGATAAACTGCTGCTGTCCCAAGTCCATCCAGTGTCCCTTGGCTGTCATTTATTGCTTGGCACAGGCACGTTCATTTGTTCATTCATTCATTCGTTCGTTCGTTCGTTCGTTCATCCTGGTTTGTCAGGCAGCAATTATGCGTTGTGCCAGGAGATGGCTGCTAACAGCAAGCCATCAAGGACTCACAGAATCCTTGCTGGCAACCCTTCCCCCTTCCTTCTTTAGCACTTTGGTCTCGCACATGTCATTCACCTGTGTTTACTGCACGTGGTGAGGACCATCGAGGTGACTGACTCAGGTGTGGTGTGGCTTCAGTGAGCATGGCGGAGAGAGTGGTCACCATCAGTGGGCCATTGCCAGTCCTGCTTCTCCAAGGAGCGGGAGTTTTCGGGGTGGAGTAGGATGGGGTCCGTTTGATTGTCTCAGTCTTGTCCCTTTTCCATCTCAAACCTCGTCTTCACCCTATCTTTATTGTGGGTAATGGCTGTTGCCTCCTAGTTGGTCTCCCTCTTTCCCAGACTGATCTTTCTTTAAACCTAAACCAATCTCCATGCTTCCCCCCACTCCTTTTACAACACCCCAAATTCTCAGCATGGCCACCATCCCTGCCGAGCTCTTCTCCTTGAGACTTCAGCACAGCCACCTCTTCTCAGGGACATTTCCTTGATACTCTAGATCAGACACTCTGACCAGCTCCCCACATGAACCGTGACCCTCATCCCCCTCTAGCTTGGGGCAAAGCTGTGTGTGAGAGTGCAGGTTCCTGGTTCATCTCAGCCTCCCACGACTGGGGGCTCTGTGACAGCAGAGCTGTGTAGGTGCTCCCCAAGATCATGACCCCACTGGCTTCCCATCTACTCTCTTCCCCTGAATGCTGAAGGAGGCCTTGGGCACACCCTGCAGGGTTCATGAGAGCACCCAGAGCCACTGTGCCCAGGCCCGAGGCGATGAGGGGCCTTCCTTGTGGATTAAGGTGGTCCTCGTCCAGAATCTCCTATCCTGGGTTCCCCCTGGATAGGAGACAAATGGTGTTGCCTGAGAACAACAGGCGGCATCACCCTGGTCCCATCATGTGACAGGACATCCCAAAGGGTTTCTTTCTTCAGTAGCAGCCATGCAAGATAAACTCTGAGACGTGCAACTCCATGAATTCTTTTCATTAACGAGTGCTCACTTAGAAACCCAGGTGAAACGTTGGGCTGACTCGACAGGGGTAAGCTCTCCAAAGAGCTTGAGCTGTGTGGGCAGAGGTTGCAAACTGGTTGCCTCCTGGCCTCAACTGGCCTGCAAATTTGAAAAAACTAAAAAACCTAAACTGGTCTCCAACATTTGAAATTGGGGAGATGCCGCGTTAAGATCTAACTGCTTTGTGCCAAGTTTCTACAAAGCCACAGTTGGTGGTGCTGAATAGCAGCCGCCTTGGACGCCCTGCAGCTCGCTGCACTCCTCACCACCCTCCCTTGGTCAGTGACATGGCCTGTTCTAAGTGAGCCTTGAAGCCTTTCTATTGGTGTCTAATATGCACACAGAAAAGCACATGAATCCTACCGTTAAGTGTTGCGTTGTCACAAACTGAACACCCCACGCTTCCACGTCATGAAACTGTTTTCTAAGCAAGTTGATGTTTCTTTGGAGTTACTAGTTTCATATTGGGTTTGATTTTAACTTTTTAAAACAAATGTAGCTTTGTTTACTGAATGAATATAGTGTTGGGGGCAAAAACACCCAATTTTTCTTTTTGCAGAAAAGCCTGCCATTGCTCCACCCGTCTTTGTGTTTCAGAAGGATAAAGGACAAAAGGTAAGGGGCCAGCATGTTCTCTCTTCATGTTTGTTTCTCCAGGAGGTCTCTCTCCCCAGGTCACACGGCCAAGGATGCTTCTGCCCTTTCAGCCTTCAAGTTGAACTTGGAGAAAAAAAGTCCAGTGGCTTTAGGTTACCATGGCGCGAGATTAAGTTGGGTGTGTGGAAAGGACTCAGAGACCATGCTTTAAAAAATGATGGTGGAAAGCGTCCTTCTAATGCCTAATGATTCAATTTAGAAATAGTACTGGACATTAGGAAAACTAGTAGGAGAGAAGAGTTGGAGAAAAAAAGGTAGAAGGAAGGAGGAGGGACAGAAGGGAGAGAAAAAGGAGAGAGGAGAGAAGGAAAGAGCAATGGTGGTTAAGGGGTTAAAACAGGACCTTTAATTAAAGATTTTAGTGGGGGCGACTTGGCCCCACCCAACTTGGCATAAATGCATAGAATAATTATTAGTTGGCTTGCATTGTATATTTACCATCCATCTTTGTTGGGTTGCTTCCCCTGCTTGGATGTTAAATGTCTCGGTCCCAATGTTGTTGGAAATACCTTGCCTGCCTCATAGTAATGAGCCTGATTGGTGCCGCGGTAGCATTCCTACGCCGCGTGTTGTTTTTCTTGAAGTCACCGGTTTTATATTTATATCCCTCCCTGACAAATCAGTGTGGAAGGTTGGGGTTGTGTCCAAGTTAGTTGGTGTTCTGTGGCAATGTCTCCCAAGCTTGTATGAGGACTCCCTCTTTTTTGTCAAAAATAAAAATAAAAAAGAATGGGCCCTCCCCACCTGTGCCCTAGAACATCAGGTGTAATTTCATGTCCGTGGCAAGGCTTCAGAGTGCCCAGGTGCTGCACTGGACTCAGCGTGTTCTGAAACCCATTCGCAGTCTGGTTGATGAGAACAGCATTTAAGAACTGGCTCGGGGCTTGAGGTCCACAGGCAAGACGCTCTGATGGATCCCCAGTCCCCTGGCAGGGTGGCTGGGTGCTGGGTGGCCAGCTCCGAGGTTGGGGGCTGTTGGTCTGGTGATTTGGGACGGCTGGCAGCCCAGCTACTGCTTATAGATTCCATCCCTTGGCCTGAGAAGAGAGGCCAGACTTTTCTGTCTGTGCGGCCCAGTTTTCCTGGGCAACATTCGAGCACTGTGCTAGGTGGAGGGTGCATGTGCACGCATGCTTGTGTGTGTGCGCGTGCAGGGGGCAGGAGGGAGAAGTAGCTGCCCACACCCCCTCGCAGGGAGCCTTCTGTGCCGGCAGGGGCTTATCTACTAGGCTTGTTCTCACATTAAACTTTCCCATTGTTAATTCTTTGCTGAAGAAAGAAGCACAAAGCCTGAGCAGACTTTCTTCCCATTTTGTGTTGTTTTTCTGGGTGGTATTTTCAAGATATCAATCTCTGCCGTCTCCTCTACCTGAGGCCCTGACACGTACATACAGCCTAGTTACCATCCCTCCTCTGGAAGGCCAGTCATTGTGAAGGGCTGATAAAGCTCCTCTAGCTTTTAGAAATGGATGTATCCAACTTCTCTTTTAGATGTAAAAGTCTCTTCTCAGGTTTTCTGTTAAATTAGAATTTTTAATTTTATCATGATCATCTTTTGAACCACTCTTAGTTTAAAACAGGTGTCAGCAAACTAAGGCCCACGACCACTGCCTATTTTTGTAAATAGAGTTTTATTGGCGCACAGCCACACGCCTCCCCCTCACAGTAGCGTAGGCTGCATTCAGGTTGTAACAGCAGAGTGAAAAGTATTGGATTGTCAGAAAAGCCATGACACATTTTTGTAACAAAAAACATAGAAAAAATGCGTCATGACTTTCCCAGCAACCCAATAATTTGGACCCAGACCATATGGCCTGCACAGTCAGAAATACTTAGTATCTGGCCCTTACACAAAAAGTTTGCCGACCCCAGATTTCAAATGAATAATAGGCATTAATGATTCTTTAAACCTGAAGACTTTCGGAAACCAGCAGGATGAAAAACTAAAATGTAATATTTGCCCGGCTGATTTTTAAATGCTTTTAAAATTACTGTTTCCTATTTCAGTACTGTTTACACAGTTCTGTTGGTTTGTAATTCCAAGGCTGACTTTCGTGTATTACCTTTAGAAAGTCGATGCAGATTATGTAAGCAGGTGACATTGAACCAGAAGAGTGGCTGGGAAGATGTTCCTGATCATCTTAAAGACGTGCGAGTGTAGTTCTTAAAACAGTAATGACTCGGAGCCAACTCTAAATGGGCTGCTACAAATAGCTGCTCTCCAGCTCTTCAGAGTTCAGCTCCCCATTTCTGTCACAACATCACAAAGGGGACGGGAAGCCTGTGTGTTTAACAGCAGAAGCCGGAGAAGCCTCTCCGACTGTCCTTTAGGGCCACTGTCAGCGCTGCCAATGGACAGTGGCCAAATGGACACGGAATCTTTCTTTCTCTGTTGCTTATGACAGCTCCAGAGTAAGGCGGAAAGTAAACAGAGTAACTCAGGCCACTGCTTTATTTCCCTTGGCTTCTCATCTCAAAGGGGACGGGAGAACAGATCCTCATGAAGCAGCCACAGTACTTCTGACAAAAGTGCGAGTTTTGAGACCCTTCCAGTTTCATTCTCCTTCTCACGCTGCAGAAGCAGAGTTGGGAAAAGGCTGTTCGGGCTGCTTTTGTTTTTTATTCTGAGCGAACTCTTTTTCCTCCTTTCTCTCTTCAACTTTTTATTTTGAAATTTTCAAGTCCTCAGAAAGGTTAAGAAAATGGTAGTGCGGGCCCTCGGGTATCCTTCACCTGGCTTCACTGTTACCATTTTTGTCCTACATGCTGGAAGCACTCAACTGTAAGTCATGCCCATCTGATGTTGCTCTACATATTTCCGCAGGTGTCTCCTAGGAATGAGACTGTTCCTCTCCATGGCCCCAGTGCCATTGTCACCCCTAAGAAAATGATCATTAATTCAGACATCTCCCCCAATATATAGTCCATATTTAATTGTCCTAATTGTCACCAAAATGCCCCTTATAGCTATTTTTTGATCCACAAAGATCAAGAAGTCCCATTGTCACTGTGGAACCATTAACTTCATTGTCAGTAAACCACCCAGTGAGAGGTGCTTCAAAGAGCCTGTGCCCCCCCTTCAAAGGAGAGCGCACAACAGGCCCAGCTGTTATTACTGAATCATGATTGAGATGAAAGATTTGAAATCGAAAGGGAAAAAAATTAAGCTTCCCGCCTAGGCATGCTTTGTTTTTGTTTGGTGGTGAAGCCACACGGCATTTTCTGTCAGTCCCATTGACCATCAGCAAACTACAAATTGGTGGTAGTGGCCAGCCTGTGGTGTCACCTAGTCTCAGGATGAGTTGTCAAATCCTTCTGTTTTCCCACGTTAGAGAAAGCTTCAGACAGTCTGAGTTCCTGTCCTAACGCCTAGACTGACAGCTCAGGAATTTTCTTTACTTCCTTCCATGTCACCAGGCTTCCTCAAGGTGGCGCTCTTCATGAAATTCTTGCATTTACCTGCATTCGTTTTAGAGGCAAAAACTAGCCCTTTTTTATTAACTAACTTGAATGGAGATAGGGGTTTGGTTTTGTTTTGTTTCTTTTTAATGTGAAGAGAATATGAATCTCCTTCTGTAGGTTGGCTTATTGTTTGTGATGACAAAATATTTCTTTCAGTTAGTTTATCTTCCAAACGTTTGTTAATCTGAAGGAGGATGGCTTTGAGGTTGCACTAGTAGGATAATGCCCATTTGGTAAAAAGACAGAAAGCAGTTACAGAAATACTGATGAGCAGAAAGTCTGGTGTCGCTGAAAACACTGCAGAGTATGTTTAGACCTTGAAGCTTATTGTTGGTGTAACAAGTGTGTCCTGTATGCACTTGTTTGTTTGTTTGTTTGTTTGTTTGTTTGTTTGTTTGTTTTGGTCAGCCATATACATTTTAGGATGGCGTCAAAGGCTGCCAAAATCTTGATGTCTGGTTTTAGCAAACATGTTGAAAAATTACAGGCCCTGTCTTGGTTCTTTAGAGCTTGTTTTTTTCTTGTCCAGCAGAAACATTTGGACCCAAGTACAAAATTCTAGAATACCATTTGTATTTCTTTTTTGGTTCCCGGATTTAGGCTTCTTCTTCAGTCTGCCATATTATAAGGGCATTTGAACATTTATGTTCTCTAAAAGCAGATTTTTTTTAAAAATTCAAGTGGTTCCAATTAGAGAGGTAGGCAGTTTCCCACAGAGCTCTGGATTTAATTCTCTCTTGTTGGGTGTTAAATCTCTGGCTATAAAGGAGCAGCAGACTGGTGCCCAGACTGACCTCGGTGCCCCGCACAGGTTTGAGGAGGAGCTTGGAAAAGAAGGCCTTTGTGTCTGCAGATCTCCCCTCCATAGGAAGAGTCGGTTTTGGGGACTCTTTAGATGTACAGATGAGTTAACATTGTGTTGCTACTGCTTTCCTAAGAATGTTTGAAAGCTCTCTCAAATCTTCTGTATATAGTTCCTTTCCTTCGACAGCCTCACGTGTTTAAAAAATAGGCCCCACCCCCTATCTAAATAGGTCTCAGTCACTTCACAATCAGAAAAAATGTGACCCCATGGTCATTTAGTTCACAAAGTGAGAGAAATGGCTCCATGTTGTGGATGATGCCAAGCAGGAGGTTTGGGGACCTGAGCCCACCTGTTCTAGGACACCAGCTTTATAACACATTTCTCAAGAAAAGAGTCTTGAGCACAGAGCCCTCAGCCCATGAACCCCGCCCCACCTCCCCACCCCCCAAAAGCCTAAGAACCACCTTGAGGAATGCCGGGGGTGTCGTACTTTCAAGAATGAAGACCTCTGGAGCTGGCTTTTTTGTACCCTGTCTGTTTTCCAAATAAGGTGTTTGGGGTGAGCCTGGGGGAATCCCAGGCCAAGGGGCTCCCTCCTCTAGCTGAACTCCCACCTGCCTGCCCTCTGATACAAAGCCAGTCTCTGCCAGCTCGTTTGGTCACCCCACACCTGCACTCACTGAGATGAGAAAGCTCTTCCTTCCTCTCAGGTTTAAGCAGCACAAGTTGAAAGATGCTGGAAGAACTAGAGCCAGATGCAGAAGCCTTTGACCCTGGATGCCCCGTTCTGCAGCTGTGTAGTGTCCCAGGCCTGCTTCCCCTAGTGGACAGAAAGTGCTGAGAACAGCTCCCCTCATCAGTGTCTTTGAGGAGATGCGCTATTAACCTAATTTACCATAATCATCCCTGTTGCCCTCTGATAGAGGCCTCATCCCCCATTTTGGTCACTAGGAATGTTTTTCCTTACTCACGGCCCATGAGTAGAGTAGCTCCGTGACAGACCGCTATGCAGTTTTGAAAACGCAGGTCTGGACTTCCTGCACTCTCAAAGCTCTCTGCAGAGTCAAAACAGCAGCAAGCCCACATTCATTTCCCTTTGTGCCTGCTTTCTTGGCCCGTCCTGGGCAGGATCTGCTGAAGGTTCAGCCATCTCTAGCCCTTCAGTCCCCACCCCTGTCCCCTGTCCCGTGTTGCAGCCTTTATTACATTGAAGGAAAATTGTCTTTTTTGCTCCCAGTCTTCTGCAGAGCAAAAAGACTTGTCGGATTCGGGAGAGGAACCTCAGGGGGAGGCTGAGGCCCCCCACCATGGCACAGGTCACCCCAAGTCAGCTGGTGAGCATGCCCTAGAGCCTCCTGCCCCTGCTAGTGCTTCAGCCAGCGCTCCTGAAGCCCAGCTTCCTCCTTTTCCACGAGAACTGGCAGGGGTAAGTCCACCTCCACCCAGCATTCCATGGCCCGGGGGTCCCACCCCAACTGGCCCCTTTCCCTCCGGGTCCTTCAGATCCAAACCCTAGACCATAAGCCGCTGATGACAACTGAAAAGACGAGCAGGATCTTTCCACCTCCCTTTAATTCGTTCTACAGAAAAGTCAGGGAAGACGAGGTCCCTTTTTACACTGAGACTTCTCTAGTTGAGGGAATATATACTCATAGCAAGAAGCTAATCTTGTTTCCTGAAAGAGACACAAGGGGTCAAAAGAGGAATTGAGTAGCGTGTAGAACCTTCCAAATCAAATTCGACCCCTTTTTCCTCATTCCGTTTTTTCTTTCTCCTCTTCCTGAATCTGGGCCTTCAAGTTCAGTGTCTTAGAAACACAAGGAGCTCCGGCTTCCTTGATCTGTAGGAAGAGGAGGTATATAATGCAGATCACTTTGCAAGACCACTTGGGTCTGGACTGTGGTTTGACTGTGAACTGCATGTCTTCAGTCAAAGCAGGAAGAAGAGAAGACCCTTCTTTGAAACTGGAGGGAACCCTGAGTCCTTTATCTTTGTATTAAGAAGGCTTTTGAACATTATAGGTGGAGAAGATTGAACTCTCAAGGACAAGAAATGTCCTGAGTATTTGGAGTTTGATAAATTGGGAAAGGTAAACATTATGGTACATTCAGGATTGAAAACTCCATCCTCTAGGTGCCTCATGACAGAGTCCCCCATTTTCATGACCTGGAAAAATGAAACTTAAGAAAACAGAGGACCCCGCTCTGCCATACAGAACACCGGCCAGCCTTTCAGGGTGTCACAATCCCTGTGATTCCTTGTGTTACATCATCAGTACCCTGTGTTCTTAAGGAAACCATTAAAATTCAGTTACAGCCACCAAACCCTAGGATACGCAGGAAGAAGTCATGTTCAGCTGAGGTGAGGTTGGAGTCATATTTTAACCCCTTGGAGGAATCGGTGTGGTGGAAAAAGAAGAACCTATCTTTACCGTGGGTGTGGGGTAGTGTGGAAGTGGTCCTTGAGGGCGTAGAAGTGGGCTTGGGGTAATGCATTATACTCAGAAGCTCCATAAAGATTCCAGCCAGGAGACACCTACGCCAAAGCGTTCTGTCGTCACAGCCCTCATACGAGAGCCAACAGAACAAGAATGAGTAGATGATCACCTTTTTGGTTGGGGGCAGAGCAGCTCCTGGAACCTTCTCGAGTCAGTTGTTGTAAATGACTGTGCCTTTGGCCATCACGTGCATGAGTCATGGTGGTCTTGGTGCCCTGAAAACAGATGGCCTTCACGTGGACCTGCCCAACAGGCCCTGCGGCCTTCTGCTGCTGCCTAGTTTGAAAGCATAACTTACGGAGTGTCTCCAACTGGCAAGGTTGAGGGTTTTCAACCAACAGTGGCAGATGGCTGGATCGCAGAGCTTGTGTCACAGCAGCTACTCTTCCAGAGGCATGCAGGCTATTTCAGGCCCTCTTACTTCGAGTGTCCACTTGGTGGGACCAATGGCCCCCACCCCACAAGAGGCTTGTACAGGAAGTGCCCTGGGCCGGGGAGCCTCACCTTTGGCCTGAGGCCCAGCCAGAGAAACTGTGTCTCTATTCTTGTGGACTTTATGTTGGAGGCTCTAATCCCAAGAAATTGAATCGGTCTTCACACTGCCAAGGGCAAGTGTTCGGGCAGAGAACCTGAGATGGGCTGTGAGGTCACCATGGGAGAGAGCCAGGACTGGGGGCAGCAGTTTGAATGTAGCAGCACCGCGACGAAGGCCATGCATGTGACATACACATGTGCACTGTTCAGTTTCAGCATTCATAACTATAGGAATCCCCAGTTCCGTCAGCAGTCTCAGCAGCGCCACCTTCACATCATTTGGGGACAGCTCTGAGGGCTCACCCAGGGCTCGCTCATGGGGCTCTCAGCAGAGAGAACCCTGGCTGGTTGCTAATGGCTACGGTCTGTTGGCTTTCCCACTGATTGGGCATGCTCAAGGCAAAATACACTTTTGTTTTTAGGTCAAGTAGGGCATAAATCAAGGCAGACGGAACCCGATCCCAGCTTTTTGGACTGAGATTTTTTTCCTTGGTAACTCATTGCTTTTGCATCGGAATAAATTTGGATGTTGCCCTGTGTGACACCAGAGTTGAGGAAACCGCCCACATGTTACTCAGCAGGTCTCATCCATCACATTCAGTCTCTGTGCTACGATCCAACCCCTCAGGGGACTGTAAGCACCAGCACTTTATAATAAATAGTGGCTTGCTGAATTGTTGCTTATAAAGGGCCCTGATCATCTTTCAGTCTCATCAGCACTCTGGCCATTGAAGACTCAGTACCAGGAAAAAGTCTCTATATATCAGACTTCCTGGCTTTCAGAAGGCAGTTTGAAGAAGACCAAACCACATTCAGATTCATTTCTCTGCTCCAGAGAAAGCGAGCAGCTTCATGCTTATCCCAAGCCTGGCTGAAGTCTACTGGACTGAAGCTCTAAGCCAAGGTGCTGATGAGCCTAAAATACATTTATGAGACCCACCAGGAAGCCTAGAAAGCTGTGGAACGAGCCACGAGCCCCTGACTGGATGGCTTCTTTCATCTTCCAGCTTCTGCCTGGGATTTCACCCTTGTTCCACCCCACCCTGTTTCACGTCTTCGGAGGCTACCTCTGGTTTTTCAGTATCTGCCTTTTGGGTAAGAATTTCTGTAAACAACATTGAATAGGCCCATAGTCCATATGAAGACAAGGGCATGTCAGAAGGACCTGCTCCTAATTGATTTTTCATCCCACAACTGGCTGAGCTTTCTAACTGGTCCTGTCCAGACCAGAGTCACTGAGGCCCAGGCAGGCCCATGGCATCCGGTGTTTTCTGTAAGGAATTTATCTGACTTGATCTTGCTTTCTGTTCTTTTTGGGGAGATCAGGAAGGCAGTGCCCGTCGTTCCTGCGTACTTACCTGTGTGTGTGTGGCTGTGTCAGCTTCTGAGACAGTCTCTAGCTCCATCCCCTTCCCTGGACTGGCACCTCTGTCCCCCTCAAGGCCACGCCAGGCAGCCTCACGAGAGCCATGTTTTTTGGAGGAGGGTGATCCTCAATGAATGTAACAATCGTAATTCTCATCATTTCATACAGCTGCAGTCCCATCCTGGGCTAGACATTACCCCCCCGATTTTGTACCTGGCGACAGGAATTTACACGCCTCCCAGAATGAGCTACTTTCCCCAAGGATCCAGTGGCTTGTGGACTGCTGCTGCCTGTCCCGCCCCCTAGCAGGGCTGCCAGTGCCACCCTGAAGCACGCGGTGAGCAGCTCCTTCATTCTTGCTGCAGA